GGATATCCGTAAAAAGGAAAATGCCGCGAAAAAGCAAAAGACAGTATTAAATTATTTTAAGTGTTAAGTGTGACCGTAAAAAGTGCTGGATGTTGTTGAACAGTGATTGAAATAACTAATTCATACTGAGTGTAATGTAAAGAAAGTATTAAATAGGCCATGAGATGACATAGAAATGAGGATGAATAAATTTAAATACAGGTAGGTCTATAGTATTATGAAGGTATTAAAAGGTAAAAGGTAAAGTTGTTCCTCTGCTCAACGAATTAAGCCCTACGCCATTAAGGCGTGTGGGGGAGTGGATGTATAGATCCAAATTTTCTTGACCTCGGCACTAGTTGGAGGTGAGTGGTCAGCTTCACGCCCCGGCCGCTTTACCCCCGGGGAAAGAGCCCCCGGTACCCATTGGATAGGAGGTTGGATGGACCCCAGAGCCGGTCTGGACGATTTGGAGAAGTTAAAATTCTTGACCCTACCGGGACTCGAACTCCGACCCTTCACAGTCGTCCAGCCCGTATAATAAAATTTGGCTTAACCGGGTTTTCGATTAACCGTGACTTCCATCCCCACCATTAGCCCGGATAATCGAGAGTTGACTGTATATTTTTGAAAGACACAGTATAGGGATGTTGCATGTTAAGACATTACATGCTGGTCACAGGAATTCTTGTGGTTCCTATACCATTTTCTTCATTGTGGTCGCAAATCATGTTTCATGCACAGGTACTTTTCATGACAGCTATTGTTGTTTAAGTATGCATATAGATATTTAGTTATGTCCTAAAATATGGCCTAGACACTGAACAGATTTAATGGTGTTTGTTTTCCTTTGAGGAAATTTTTTATAAATTTGTAAATTTCCTTAAGTTTTCATTATGCTAGAGATCAGAGACAGGCAAGTTTGTGATCTCTTTGACCATAAGAGCTATGTTTGAAGTGAATTATATGCTGTCTGTTTATCTGGCTCTCTTGGTGAGAGTGGTCATGGAGATTGTGGTGACAGTTCTTGTGCTAGTGATATGCAGATCATAGTGAAATGCAAACAAAAGGTCTCTGTGGCAGTAAATTTTGAAGGTGGTGGTGATTAATGATTAAATAAATGTTGCTGATATTCTATATTATGATGACAGGAATGACCAGATGCATACTGATGTTCTCCATATTTAGAATTCTCTGAAGGCAATTTTGGGATTGCTGTAGTTAAAAGCAGTCCTAGAATTGAAGGAATCTTTACAAGTGAAACATTAAAAATTAGATAAAAGAAACTAGCTTTATATGTACAGACACCAAGAATTGTAAAATTTCACTAGAAAACAATGAAATTGACTGGTGTCACATCAGATGAAATAGAGTTTCGAGGAATAATTATAATCATGGTACAATTACATACAAGTTTAAATCACCATGTGAGAAGTTAATAGTCCACAAATTCCCATATAGAGACTTTAGTTTTGTAAAAATAGTGGTCATGAGAAGGTATGATCAAATTTGGCATATTTGCATTGTCGCAACAAATATTTTATAGCATAAATTTGAATTTAGTAAATTGTTTATCAGTCCATCCCAACAAATATTTTAAAGCATAAATTTGAATTAGGAAGTTATTTATTAGTCCTTCCCATGATTTTTATAAACAGAAGGTAATAATATCATCCTTAGAGATGTCAGTTTTAAAAACATTCTTGTTAAGAACCGAGAGACTGATCTACCTTCATGTAAGACCAGTTATGATGCTTGTTATTTTTACCATTCATTGTATTGTCATGTAGAGAGATCTGGTATTTTAGTATTCACTCTAAGATCACTATGATTCGTGATTATTAAGTTTTTTTATTTAGGTAACGGAAGTGCAGATATTTTTGGAGCAATCCGTTACGCTGCCAAACTGCTGTTCAGACCAGGCGTCTCCAAGACTTTCATCCTTCTGCCATGCACAAACTGTGATCCAGCTAATTCTACTGTAAGTTGAAAGCAGGAACTCTTTAATTTTAGGTGGAATGTAAGTTATTTAATGATTCTGTATCAGCTGCAGAGTTTATTTTAGTATCACATGTCACAAGAGGATGATCCAGTTTTATGAAATGAAAGACCTGGGGAGCAAACATACTATCTCTGAATTCATCTTGAAGGACCAAGGACAGCTGTAAAAACCCCTTGTACAGTATTGTTGATGTTCAGCTAAGAGTTAGACTTGATAACTCCTAAACAGAAGTCAGAAACTTTGCATGTTGGTCCATTTTGCTCTGTGGAAAGGCTCATAGTCCAGGGAGGAAATTCAGTTTTATATTATTTCATATATTCTTTGTCAGACTTTTGTTTGTGTCAGAATGAGTGTTTTTTTTTTCTTAGTTATTTTCCATGACGATAGATAAAGTCCGAAAACCCAATATCTTTGTGTTATATACACCATCGTCAGAATCCTATAGTAACTGTTAGAACCTTTAAAATTTCATCCTATTAAGCTGTTATTATATATTGTTAAATGGCAGAAGTTGTACTCATGGTAGGGTATTCTTTCTTGCACAAGGTGTTTAAATCCTGCTGCTGTCAGGCTTAACATGCAAACTTAGAACTGAAAAATATGCATATATCTGGAAATAATTGTGATAAACATGTTAGTGAGGATAAATGAACCTTGTGTTACAAAATTCCTGTTTAATCAGTGTTGTCTATTTTGCTTATAATGAGGTTGCTTTTAAATGAGGACACTAGAATTTAGACCATTTCTCTTTCACGCTTTCGCTATTTTCTAATATTTTATTCACTTAAAACCATATTGATTTAACGGGAAGCACTGAAATGCTGAACCACTTCAATTTGTTTGCATTTACAGGTTGACTACACAGTCCTACATCAGGCTCTTGTGGAGAATGACATCACCCTTCATATTCTGATGAATGATGAATTCATATTTGAAAAGGACAGGTTGAATAAAATATTCTATGGTAAATAATCAGATTTATTATCATGTTGAATTTGAATGAGCACTTAATGCACTTAGCTTTAGAAAGTGCCTACATTTGACAAATGAAGACATTAATTTCCTTCCTTACCAAAGAATAAAATTCTTCTTTAATTTGTGTATTCTGCCATTTATCCAAGATAAATATTCATCAAGTTTAAATTAATTCATTGAAATTGATGTATAGCTGACTTTAAAGTTTAAAGTTATTCAATACATGATACAAACTCTGTCTTCAGTGCAAACCATATGTTATAGGTCTTTTGTTTTGCTCTCCTTTACACACTACATGTTTCGGCCACAAACGGCCATCATCAGGTGTATTACTCACGTATCTGTCACACTGCACTTAGTTTAACTTTAAAATTTAAAAACACAGGTCTTCCTGCTTGTTCATTTTGCCGTTATTACCAAAATCTACTTCGTTGATGTCTTTGTTATTTACACATGACAATTTTGATTTCTCTGAATTAGCACTTATAAAATCTTCAATCTTCGTTGATGTCTTTGTTATTTACACACGACAATTTTGGTTTCTCTGAATTAGCACTTATAAAATCTTCAGTTATAATTTTTAAAATCTTTTCAATTTTCCTCTAAATTTTAAAATTTAAAATTGTCAGGGTTACTTGCCCTATGTCTATAGTGCTGCAGCAGCTACTTCTTGTTTCTAGCATTGTACTGGTGTTATTCTGTGTAATCTTTCTGTGTGTGTGTGTGTGTGCCGCTGCTTGTCTTTACTACGTGTGTAAATAACAAAGACATCAACGAAGTAGATTTTGGTAATAACGATGAAAGGAACAATCAAGAAGACCTATGTTTTTAAATTTTAAATGTTAAACTAAGTGCAGTGTGACAGATACGTGAGTAATACACCTGATGATGGCCGTTTGTGGCCGAAACATGTAGTGTGTAAAGGAGAGCAAAACGAAAGACCTATAATATATGGTTTGCACTGAAGACGGAGTTTGTATCGTGTATCATATGGAGTGCAACAGGATGCTTAAATATAATATTAAAGTTATTCATTGCTAACTTTAGATCATTCTTCAGTTTCATACTGCACACAAGGCAGTCAGTGTGTTCCTATGAAGCACTGGTACTCACCTGCTAGCCTGTGTATTCTGTTATAATGCAGAAGACTTAAATATGAATATTATTTTAATTAAAAAGTTGTGAACTTATTTATTTCAACAAACTAAGATGAACCAAACAAGTAGCACTTGTCCTACAATGCTTAAAACGTAGTAGGTGACTGGTTTAATTCTTTATTTATACATGGCTGTATCATTTGATTTTTGCTTATATTTATTGTAGATTTTTACTAAAATACCTGACATAGTATTTTACTAATCTGAACCAATTTAATTTCTGAATACAATTACAAAAAAAGTTACTTTCGGTGACCAGTAGAGACCTGAGCATTGATGAGACTTTACTGTTCAGATCATATTCATATACAAAGCTGTACAAAAATTTCCTTATCTCTCTCATCCTTGTTTCTGGTTTTAGGCATGGATGGATTAACTGCGTATACAAAGAAGGATGTAAAATCTCTCAAAGGATCTACTGAACTCCGAAGACAAGTTAAACTTCCTAAAGCTATGTTGGGATACTGCACACCTCTTGCATTGGAAACAAATGGTAAATGACAGTCTGTAAGGAATTCCCCCATCAGAAAGTAAACTGGCCAGTGATTGAAGAATTTAACAGAAATATCCCCCCCGCCCAGAAATTTGGAACTGCTACGAATTTTAATGTAACATATAACTGCAGATGTCCCTCCTTGCCTCTTAGTTGTGGGAATTACTGTTATGACTTTGTAAAACCAGTTTTGGGTGCAAAAACTAAAAAGTGACCTTGATAATTTAACTATAAGTACACAGCAACATAATTTAATCTTGACATAGAATCAGTTTTATTTCCAGATCTCAAGTAACTCTTTTACACTAATTATGATTGCCTTTTTGAAAAATGTAACACTATAGACAAGGATTTTATAACAATCTGCTGCCAGTTATTATATTCTAAGTAAAGTATCTTAAAGTAACTACATGTCAGTGAGAGTCAGTGCTACGCAAACCAGTTTTTGCCATGCAAGATGAAGCAGGATTTGCTCTAGTTTTATTCTGAGAAAAACATTCATCATCGTGGAGATGGAGTCAATTGTTGCACATTTCTTTTATTGCTAGTGGGGTGGGACTAAGTCCCTTGTACTGCGGCCACTTCTGGCCTATTGTACCAGCCCCAGATGATAGGTGAGGGTGATTGTGGAGCAATTGGTGGAATGAAGTTTGGCAGGGGAAACTGAAGTACTTGGAGAAGACCTGCCCCAGCGCCATTTTGTCTACCACAAATCCCACTTGATCAAACCCGGTCTGCCGCGGTGGGAAGCCAGCAAATAACCACTTGATTTACGGTGCAGCCTAATGTTGCACAATTTTGTAGTCTGTTATTTAAGCTCTACGTCATTGAAAATTAAATTAGCAACATTGTTTTACAAACTCATTCAAAAATAGGATAGATTTAAGGATTTTTAAAAGTAACACTGTTCTGCGGTATTTTAGGTACTGTTTTCACGGCAAGGAAGCTTCTGTCAGAGAAAAAGAATGCTGTAAAGAAGTTTGCAACTGTGTTTGCAAAGCGTGTTGCCCGCACAGCTCGGCCCTCTTCATGTCAGATTTGTGAATGCACAGCAGATAATAATGGGATGAGTTACATGGAATGCTTTCCATGCGAGTATCCATCTCCATCCTCCATTGATTATGTAAGTGTTGAATAATATACTACCAACCCAAATCATATCATGCTTCAGTGCAATGGAAACATCCAAGTTAACCTTCTTCAGCTGGGAAGGTTATGCTTGCCATGTTTTGGGATTCTCAGGAAGTACGGTTAGCCCATTTTCAGAAGTGTTGTTTAAATGTGAATTCTGCATCATACTGTGAAGTTCTTATGAGACTTCGGGATGCACAAAAAACGTCCAGGCCAACTGGCAGGAGGGGTACTGCTTCATCATGATAATGCCAGAACTCATACAGTCCAAGCAACTCAGGAGAGAATTCAAGAATTACAGGGGGAACTTCTTGAACTTCCACCTTACAGCCCAGATTGGGCCCCTAGATACTTCCATTTGTTTGGTTCACTAAAAGAGCACCTTTGTGGAAAACGTGTTGCTGATGACTAAGAAGTGCGGATGTGGCTGAGACAGAAATCAGAAGACTTCTATGCTATGGGTTTCAGCATGCTGGTAAAGTAATGAGACATGTGTTTCAATGTTGGTGGAGGATCTGTTGAAAAATAAATGTTTTTTTTTTTTTTCAGGTTCAAATATTACATGCTTTATAGTATTTTATGTCCATTTGTGACATATTTAATTACTCTTCCTTGTATTAGGCAAGTCCCTAGGAGAAGTTTTACCCACTTGTGTACCAACACTTTAAATTAATTTGTGTCTTGCAAACTTATTTTTGAACTGTTATTGTAAAGTGACATAACAGTCGCTACTAATAGGGTACTTACTTACTCATGGAGCTGAGCACTTTTTGGGGAGCCACCAATTCTGCAGCTACTCCAGAATTTCCCAGCATTTAATGGAACCCGAAGGTTCATTACCATGTTCACAAGAGCCCTCAGCTAGTCCCTATCCTTAGCCAGATCAATCCAATCTATACCATCCCATCCTATCTCTCTAAGATCCATCTTAATATTATCCACCCACCTATGCCTTGGTCTTTCCAGAGGTTTCTTTCCTTCTGGCTTTCCCACCAATATCCTATATGCATTCCTCATCTCCATTCGTGCTACATGTCCTGCCCACCTTATCCTCCTTGACTTGACGATTCTAATTATACTTGGAAAAGAGTACAAGTTACGACGCTCCTCATTATGCAGTTTTCTCCAACCTCCTGTCACTTCATCCGGCTTCGGTCCAAATATTCTCCTCGGCACCCTGTTCTCAAACACCCTCAGTCTATGTTCCTCCCTTAATGTCAGAGACCAAGAATAAGGTATAATTCTAAACTTCTGAAAAAAGAAATGCTAAAAAAAGCTTTGTCTAACATTTTGTCTCCTTTATTCTCTAGGATTTCAGTGAAGATGCAACATTTCAACTGACAGGTGATGATTCTTATGTGCATTATGAAGACTCAGAAGAAGACTCCAGAGATTTATAAAAATATATGAACTAGATGCTCAGCTGTACACAGTTATAAGTTATTTAAACAAAATTATAGAATATCATAAATATATAATGAGACATTTGATCTTCCTTAGCCAACACTCTCTTAACCACATCACTACTGCCTTAAATGCATTTTATTTGAGAAGTAGAGGGGGACAGAAATTAAAAGGTATGATTAACCATGAAAAATACACAGTCATAAAGTCAGTGATTACAGATAAAAAAGAAAAGACGAATATTCTGATGAAACAGACAATTTAGAAGGCAAGCTATGGTGATCTGTTCAGCCAGCAAAGGAGCATTCTGTTATGTAGCACAGGAAAATTTACTTCACTGGAGTGAAGTGTGGAGACTGATGTAAGGAACTGACACCATCACAAATAAAAATATGGCTGATTACTAAACAAATTTAGATTGTTTTAATAATTTAAGTTACATTTATTATTGTGTTTAAAGATTATGGTTGTACAGCATTGTGGTAGTTATACACACACAATTATGAGTATTTAGTGTACGAATTTCTGTTTATATTTGTTTTATTTATTGTTTCTTTAAACGGCCTCTGGATTAGCTAACATTTCAGTTAACTACCTGTCACTCAGGTGTGCAAGTGGGAGTCCACTGCTTTTCCGATTACATATTACTTTCATTTGTGTTATGTTCTTCATGCATATTTTACATTTCCAAGTGGTATGACTCTGTTCGATCATTAATGTGATGCAAGGATTAGGTTTAGAAAATAAGTTTTGTAGTCCACTGAAATGTGTGCTTAAACATACTTGCATAGTTTTGTGCCTTCAAGAATTGTTCACATGTAGAAGTAAAAATGATGTTTTATTATATGTTGCAGTAAAGTATTTTAATAATGTTGCATACACATATTGGTAACTTACAAACATAGTTTTCGAGTGCTATTTTTTTTCTCATTGGTAGTCATGTAGTTTTCATTGTAATTGGCATGTCTTAATATTAATTTATGTAAATGTTAACACCTTGTTTTTATACTGTATTTCCAGATCATGTGCTGGGGCAGATTTAGTCAAGGTTATACACGTTTTGATCTGGGAGTATGGGGAATGAAACATCAATATAAACAAAATTTGACACAGTGATAGTTGATGAAGTTGTAAAAACTTAATTTTCATCATTCACTACTCTTCTTACTTACTTACTTACTTACTTACTCATGGAGCTGAGCCCTTCAGGAGAAGCTGCCAATTCTTCAGCTACTCAAGAATTTCCCAGCATCTTATGGAACCCGAAGGTTCATTACCGTGTTCACAAGAGCCCTCCACTGGTCTTGAGCCAGATCTATCCAATCCATACCATCCCATTCTTATCTCTCTAAGATCCATTCTAATATTGTCCACCCACCTACGCCTTGGTCTTCCCTGTGGTCTCTTTCCTTCTGGCTTTCCCACCAATATCCTATACGCATTCGTCTCTCCCATTCGTGCTACATGACCTGCCCACCTCATCCTTCTTGACTTCATGATTCTAATTATACTTGGAGAAGAGTACAAGTTATGAAGCCATTCACTATTCTTCAGGAAAATAAATTTCTTACGAAACAAGTGTCAGGGTTAATTAATTCCATTTTGAAAAAAAATACTATCTCTTGGACACATAGTATAGTATGTTATGTAATGTAGCAGTATTAGTGAAATTGAAAAATAAATTGAGCTGTCTAAATTGTCAATAATCATGATATACCTAATGTACATGTGTGAACTGCTTTCATAACTTATCACACATTTTTGTTCTATATTTTGAGAAGAGACCATGTGACTTCTTCATTAAATAGGTATTGAAGGTGAAAAATATGACAACAGTCATGCAACTGCCCTTGCAGGAGGTGAAATTTTTATTTTATGTTACTGCAAGGTACACTTTAGTATGTGAATTTGGAATATATTCCTTAATGAATGCTTAATGGATGGCATGATTAGTAAAATTATTTAAACAGTTTCAGTAGTTCTATGTAAGGCGTGTTAGAATTATTTCACTTTGGGTTTAGCCCATATTTGACAATTAATATTTTATGTTTAACGGATATCTGAGGCCCAAAACAGCATTCTTAGGGCAGACAAGGACAGCCTGGGATTAAAAGCTGCAAGAGTCTACAAGATGCCATGCCAATATGGGACCATCTGCATTTGTGAGACAGGCTGTATGATTGAAGAGTACCAGATGGATCTCTGGCAGTACCATCCAGAATGACTGGTTGTGGCAGAGAATTGAGTCAACCAAAGGGACTGAGTACACTTTGAGGACAATAAGACTACTCCAGTACACCTGCAGAGTTATCTGGGAAGCCATAGAAATCATTCTACATGACAACTTTAGTAGTGAAGATGGCTACCAGTTACATTCTACACTGCAGATCATCCATATAGTCAAGCAGCATATGGGATGCCATAAACATGATCTTCCCCCAAATCAAATTCTAGATCAAGGAACAGTTGCAGTAATTCCATAAGAGGGATTCAACCACAGAAGGACAAATTCCAGCCTACCTACCGACACTATTTAGGCCCCTCTCCTTTTCAAGTTATGCACTTCTTCATGTGTCTTCCTTCCTTTGGCCATCGAAACCCATCTTCGACCCATGGTGACCTCCACACCACTCTCCATGCTACTCAACCCACAACATAGAAGATGAAGCAACATTATGCCTGCTCATCACCTGGATGGGTGAATGCCTAAGAAGTATCTGTTGCCCCACACCCCAAATGTTTTTTATGCCCCCAAAAAGTATGTCCTGCTGCAAGGGTTGCAGGAACATGCATGTCTGAGTTGAAAGCATGCTGTCAAAATTGTAAGAGGTTGGGGAGTGAAGGGTGGGAAAAAATGATGGTTGCAAGGCAAAAACTGCCAAATAGGTCATTGTCAAATTTGTGGTTTTTTGAGAAAAGTTAAGTGTCAGTGAAAAAAAGAAAGGTTCCTTCTTACTTCCTGTACATTCTGTGTAGTGACAATGTAAGTGGATAGCCCTGTCAACATCCATAAAGATGACATTGCTGCAAATCCTCAGTAACTAAGCTGGAAATATACTGTGTCATACTGTGTGTATGTGTGTGAAATTTATTTAATTCCACACACCACACCATACATTTGTCATTTCATGGATATTTGAGCTCATTAAACTATCATCAGGTATTTGACTTTTTTACATTCACCTGTATTCATCTGCTTATATTCCTACATTGGCCAGCGTTTACATATTAGAATACTGGTTTTTTATTAGTATGTAAACCCATTATATACAAAAAGGAGTCTTTGCCTTTAAGATTAAATAGAATTGTTAAAATGTTACATCATTAAAATTAAATTTATGTAAAAGGTTTTCTTATGTTTTGTCTGGATGTAGTAGTTGTGTGTAGATGTGTCTGCTATATTTCTTGGGAGTTCTTCACATCAAGACTGCAGTTCTCCATTTTAAAATCAAACTTTTGGAAAAAAGGAACCATGGATCAATCGGAACCATAGATAACACAAATTGAATGGTCTTTGTGGGAAACTGCTGAAATAGCCAGTGCCAACATTTTCGTTCAAGACCGACAGATGGCATATAACGCAAAGAATGATTAGCAAATTGTAGGCAGTAACTGGCAGTAATACATGAGATGGTTTCTGGTAGCCCAGGCTACTGTGGAAGCAACTGGCGATTGTAATAGTTTCAAATATCGCAGTCACTTAAATAGGATATGAGCTGCAGATTCAGGAATTAATTTTGCATGTCTTCCACTATGTATAAATCCTGGTTTTTTGCGTAAGAAACGGGAAGTTAACCTACATTAGAAATTGTATCCGTCAATAACAGAGGGCGGGTCATTTATGGTCCTGCAGGCGCCCGTTAATACAATCGTCTATGATTGGTCTATATGTTCCCACGTGATTATTGTATACATTGAAAAAGATATGGTAGTTGGTGTTTGAGGTCTACATGAATATGCCGTTACCGTAGTTAGGCGTTTGATGTCGTATGTACAAAACTCGAGGATGTAAGAACCCCACCGGTTGTAAGTAAAGATGCAGGTCTTGTGTTAATACTGTATCAAGCTACAAGGTTTAGTGGAAAACAATATGTGCAATGACTGAATTGATACCTAACGCCTTGCTCTGATCTCCCGGCAAATCCGAATTATTGTCAAACTACGGAATGTGATAATATTGTGGAAATTACAGTGAATGATCAAATCGACTAATTTTTAACGTGAAACTTGTAAGTGAATTGATTGTATAATGAAATTTTGTAACGTTTTCTTGAAATGTGTTTCATATGCAGGTGTATCACATATTGAAAGAGGCTCGAAGTGTTTCGTATTCAAGTGGAAATTAACTGTATGTTGACGGCCTGATATTCGGTGCGTGATTTGAAAACAAACGCAGATCAGTTTACCAATGACAGATTAATCTGCATAGTGCCATTGCAACCGGTTATGTGTTATCGTATTCCAAAGTGGGGAAATTGGTTTGTATATATTTTCTCAAAAAGTGTGAAATGAAATATGAATATATAAGTGACTTTACTGGTTCATCATTGACACATTCACGTATCCTAAAGAAGTGAATGAACAATCTTCTAACATGGATGAAGGCAATGAAGTTTTGGTATGTGCATCAGAATATGTGAAAGGTAAGCCAAGTTGCACTCATGAAAAATTAGAAATTATAAGACAGTTTGTATATTCTTTTGCAGGTTAGTTCTATATATAAATTTAGGGAGGTTTTCTGTCATCTGTAAGCATCAATAAAGTAAAGAAACAGGAATGAATGATCTTTATAGGAGTGTTTCCTCAGTATCCAACTGGAACACATTTCACTTGAATCAGTTGATTACTACAGATTAAACACTAACTGGTTGGTATGTGTGTGTATGCCTTGTGTGAATATGCAGAAAGGTTATTTTTGAGCCTGCCACAAATCTTTTGATTGCTTGAGTGTACGGGACATGCTACTCGCATCAGCTCACACATGTATTCGGACTTATAGCAGTCAATATCAGCAGTGTGTGGTCATTCACCACATTAACCCTGATGACTGAACATTGAACATTGACATGACTGATTGCTGAAGAAGATTTCAGCACGATTATTCACCTTGAAAGCTTCATATCTTACATAATGAACCGCAAGGGGAGGAAATACACCATAATATACAGTGCCTTGAAAAACCTAAGAGAAAAAGAGGCATCTCTTTATCAGTTCTGTAGTCTTTGTTCCTGGATGCAGAGATAAAACAGGAGGTTCTAACATTCATGAAGGTAAAACATCCTGCAGACAACCCAACTGCCAGGAGAATACTCCACTGCACCAACTCAGCCATAATATGGGGACAGATACACCATACAGGAGAACTTGATGTGATTGCCTGAGCCCATCATGAGACACATCTAAAAGTAGCTACTGAACTGAAACAAAATGATTATGATGTGGTTGATCATGCTGCTATGCCACTACAGTATAAAGTCAGTTAATGATAATGAAATCTGCACAAAACAAAAGAAGTTTGAACGCTGGTCAAGAATTCATGTCTGAGAAAGATAAGTCTATACCAAAATCTTGGTAATTAAACTCACAGGAAATAAACTGGACCCAGCCATAGTATCCATATTAAGTAAAGGCCTGAATTTTGCCCATACACAGAATTCAGCCAACAGTAAGAGAAATCATAAGTGGTATGGAAAAAGTAACATGACATTTACCGACTGAAGAGGTAGAAGAAGTAAGACAAGTAAGTTGACAGATAATGAAACATTCTAAACCCCAAAAATAACACCACAGAAGGTGAGTGTGATACACTAAGGACCCTATGAAACAACCAGGACATGTTAGTCCTTCTGGCAGTTAAAGGCAATGCCTCAGATGTGATGACCAGCATAGATTATAGTGAAAAAATTGAATAATTCTTGAACATTCAGAACTACAAATTATTAACAAGAGATCCAATTAAGGCAATGGAAAGAAATACAAGGTTGATCAAACGATCAGGAATTGTAGAAAATGTGACTAAAATACAGATACAAAGTGACACTGTGCCACCAAGACCTTATGAATCACCAAAAATTCATTAACAAAATACACCACTTTGATCAATTGTAGATGTAATTGGTGCTCCAGGAATGCTGTTTGATAGACTGCCATAATTATTCATGCTGTCCAGTGGAAGAGATGCAGCCCCTCATGTCAGATCTTTCCACGGGCATTCAGATCAACAGCATGATTAGTAAGCCCATAAGCCAACACATAAAGAAAATGCTCAAGTTACAACAGTTGCCAGAAATTATCCCTGTTTTTACCCATACATTCCTTGCACATCCATAAAAAGTTTACATTCACATATTGAAGTTTCTTTCTTGAAACTGCAGACTGCAAATTTTAAATCACAGTTTCCTGTGCGGGTCATCTAAAGGATAGTTAAGGAAACTGTTCAGCCCTAGTACTGATTTTACTCAGTTTCTCTTCAATAATTCATTCATTCATTTATTCAGCATTCCATAAATCCTTACATGGTTAAACACCAAAGGATATAGAAATAATTAACATGAGTTTACTGTTTGGTATTCTGATTGGGTTCTTTCTTGGACAATAATGACCCTATATATAGAAATGTATTTATGACCATATTAATAATTTTATCTTTTGAACTGTGACATCCCAAAAATTTTCACCGAATTCTTTCTACTTTGGACATGAGCATTGCACATGATCATTTGTTCCAATGTATAACTCTCACGTGACATATTATCGCAAGAAATAACATAACTCAATGAATGTTTAATATAGTAACAATTGCTCAGCGTTGTGGTAAAGAGGCACATTATGCATAAACTTTCTTCACAGTATCTGGTGAAAGATTTAATGGAGCCACGTTATAGATAACTCGTAATGTCTACAGGCTGTTGGCCTGTTGATTATGCCATGAGTCAAAACAAGCAGTGTTGAGTTGACACCAGTACTGTGTATCCCTTCCACCAGACCAGCTGACTGGTTTTCAGCAGACTCCAAGGTATTCTTCTGTATATACACAACACAGACACAAGACATATGTTAACATGACAATAAATCAAAGAGGAGTGTACTACACATGAATTAAGCTATTCAGTATAATGAGGAGCTTCATAACCTGTAGTGTTCTCCAAGTATAATTAGAATGATCAAGTCAAGGAGGCTGAGGTGGGCAGGTCATGTGTCACGAATGGGGGAGACGAGGAAAGCGTATAGGATATTGATTGGAAAGCCAGAAGGAAAGACACCACAGATAAGACCAAGGTATAGGTGGGTGGACAATATTAAAATGGATCTTAGAGAGATAGGATCGAATGGTATGGATTGGATAGATCTGGCTCAGGATAGGGACCAGTGGAGGGCTCTTGTGAACACGGTAATGAACATTTGGGTTCCATAAAATGCTGGGAAATTCTTGAGTAGCTGCAGAATTGGCGGCTCCTCCAGAAGGGCTCAGCTCCATGAGTAAGTAAGTAAGTAGTGTTGGGAAAGCCAGAAGGAAGGAGACCACTGGGAATACCAAGACATAGGTGGGCGGACAATATTAAAACGAATCTCAGAGAGATAGGATGGCATGGTATGGATTGGATTGATCTGGCTCAGGATAGGGACTGTTGGAGTGCTCTTGTGAACAAGAAAATGAACCTTCGGTTTCCATAATATACTGGGAAGCTCTTGAGTAGCTGCACAATTGGCAGCTTCTCAAGAAGGGCTCAGCTACATGAGTGAGTGAGTGAGTGATTTCCATCTCCAAACCCATAGAAGAATTTACTTTCATTGCAAATGATTTAAGTATTATGTGAAGAAAATATTTCTTTAGCAGTTGTTTTGTATTGCATAATATACTTACTATGTGTTCATATATAACTATAATAACTATGTATTTATATTTAGATTTATAAAAACAAATGAAGTCCCTGTGCTTAATTGGGGGCATGCGGTAGCGTAGTTGGTTGAGGCACTATGTTACAAGCTGGAAGGTAGCAGGTTCAGTTGCCGATGAGGTTGTTGGATTTTTAAATTAACCTAATCCATCCAGCCGCAATATGGCCCTGGGGTTGACTCAGCCTCTAACAGAAATGAGTCCCAGGAATCTTCCTGGGGTGGTAAAGGGCGACCGGCACGTAAGACTGACAACCTCACTGCTATCTGTGAGCCAGTTGTCTACAAAAGGTGAGAGTCTTGATGTCTCACAACTGTATGGACCTTCACGGCCTGTTACATGGATAGCTTTCCCTTTTTTTTACCTTACCTATGCTTAAGAAAGTAAGCACTATGCCATGAAGATATATGGGGAAGAGGAGGCATAGCTCCTCAATTCTTGATTCCGGCCATAAATGGATGTGAGTGGTCAGCTTCGCACCCCGGTCAGTTTGCCCTTGGGAGAAAGAACCACCTAGTACCCATTGCCAGGGTGGGCATCAGAGCTGATGTGAATGCTGTAGAGATTAGAAAAATGTTTCCCCTACCACGAATCGAACCTTGGCCATCCAACCCATAATCTATCACTATACTTGTGGTAGAAGTTTTAATCATCCCAGAGACACTATTTTATCAGCTTTTCCTCTCTTGTTTCTGATTTTAATAGATCATTATACAGTAAGTAAAGTTTGTCCCCTGTGTATAATTAATTACCACACACAAGATATATGGAGATGGGAAGTGTAACTCCACATTTACTTAATCTTGGCACTGAAGGGAGATGAGTGGTCACGTTTATGCCCAGGCTGCTTTATCTCCAGGGATAAACCATCTGGTGCCCTTCAATATGAGGCTGGTTTGGACCCAGAGAAAGTCTGGATGTGCCAGAGAAGAGAGAAATCTCCACCTCTGCTGGGAATCCAACCAAGATTCTCAGGTCATCCAGCTTGCAAGCTTAGTCACTCTACTGACAAGAAATACCCTGGCTCCTTTATAGAATATGATAAGGAGGTTCTGTTGCATTATTCAAGGGAGTCATCTGATAGGTGCCTGAAAATCATTCTGCTGCTTAATCAGGAAAGGCAAAACAATCCTTCCCGCAACTGAAGATGCATAAATTTGTTTCTGGTAGCTTACTCAACAAACCAAGAGCCCGTAGATGAATAATTTTTGTATTTGGAATTACAAGGACCTGAAATCCATGCTAGAATCATCCTTTCTTATGCAACCACTTTTGACACGGATGTTGTATATGAAAATCTATCACTTCAGCGAGGATCCTACGCTTAACACTCTGACACAAGTAAAGGTTAAAGAAGCTATCCCTGTAACAGGCTGTGGAGGCCCATAGGGCTGTGAGACGTCAAGGCTCCCACATCATCTAGACAGTTGGCTCACAGATGGCGGTGAGATTTTCAGTCTGCCGCACTTTACCTTTAGGAAGATTCCTGGTACTCATTTCTGTTGGCAGCTAAGTTGATCTGATGGCCATACTGCAGTTGGAAGGATTAGATCAAACGAAAAATCCAGTGACATCGTCGGGAATCGAACCCTCAACCTTGCGGCTTTAGCATATTGACTCAGCTAACTATGCTACCACGTGCCCCTTGACACAGGAAGTAATCTTACTTACTCATGGAGCTGAGCCTTTCTTGAGGAGCCGCCAATTCTGCAGCTACTTGAGAGTTTCTTAGTATTTTATGGAACCCGAAGGTTCATTACCATGTTCACAAGAGCCCTCCATTGGTCCCTATCCTGAGTCAGATCAATCCAACCCATACCATCTCATCCTATCGCTCTGAGATCCATTTTAATATTGTCTACCTATGCCTTGGTCTTTCCAGTGGTCTCTTTCCTTCTGGCTTTCCCACCAATATCCTATATGCATTCCTCTTCCTCAGGAAGTAATGCAACTATTTGAGTATTTAATGCAATAGGGGCTTAAGATTACAGTTGGTCAGCACGTAATGCCAGGATGTCTCTCCCACCTGAGCTGCTTAATAATTTTGAGTAGCTCCCCGATGATTATACTGTATGAGAATGGTATATTTATTATCATATAATTAAACGATGAGCACTGTTTATTTAAAAATTTAACTTTACTGCTTTCCCCAAGAAACAACTTTTGAACTTTCCTCCACAGTGCTGTGTAAAGAATTCTTTCCTGTGTCAACACGTAAAGCATTTAAATGTGTTTGTCTTTGATATATTGGGTTTTTGGACTTCATCCATCGTCATCCGAAACGTCGTGTTTCTATTAGTTATCTTAAAAACCAGGACGATGGATGAAGTCCAAAAACTCAATATATCAGTGTGTTATACACCATCGTCAGAATCCTATAGTAACTACGTGTTTGTCTTTGTTTCAGATCGCCTCTATTTTGTGACACTTCGCACTACTGTTAAGCCAAAGTCCACAGCTAACACTCATTATTTCAGTGTGGATGATGAGTTGGTGTACGAGAACTTCTATGCCGATTTTGGACCGTTGAATTTGGCAATGCTATACAGGTATTGCCAAAAACTCAACAAAAAATTGAAGGTTAGTTTTTATTTATTGTGCAGGATGTTGTATTCCTGTTATTTTCTAAACATGATTGTCTTTCCATGGATTTTATAGTATTAAGTGTAATGCTGCCCAAATGGTTCAGAATAGCAACAAAGGATATAGAGATAAGGAAACCTTAGAACCTGTCCTAGGCCTACTGCACTGACTGAAAGTAAAGCAGTTTTGTCTCAAGCTATGGTGTTGTCCTCTTGAAGTTCTCACAGTTTTATTCCCATATATATAAAATTCATTTTAATAATTTGAATGTGTATGCTGTGGTGTTATATTGAAACAGTATACAAATAACATGTTCACATGATGTATTTCAATTATGATGTCGAGACGATGGAGCATAGTTTTTGGTGAACACAATGTTCTGTGCAGAAGATGGTTTCTCCTCAGATACAGTAGTTATTTTGTTGAAAGAACTTGATTGATAATATATCGATTATTTTTTTTATTGCTAGTGGGGTGGGACTAAGTCCCTTGTACTTCGGCCATTTCTGGCCTATTGTATCATCCCCAGATGACAGGTGAGGGGGATTGTGGAGCAATTGGTGGAATGAAGATTGGCAGGGGAAACTGAAGTACTCTGAGAAAACCTGCCCCAGCACCACTCTGTCCACCACAAATCCCACTTGACCAGACCCGGGATCAAACCCGTGCCGCCGCGGTGGGAAGTCAGCAACTAACCTCTTGAGCTATGGCACGGCCTGAGTATATTGATTATATGGCTTTCTTCTTGAATGTTTCTGGAAGATGGATTTTATCGTGATCAGATCTTTCGTTTTTGTTGATATATGTTACTAGATGCTTTTGTGTATTGTTTATGTTTATAGAGGTTATTCCTGACCCCCCTCTGTGGTATAGTGTTCAGTTTCTGGCTACAGATCCAGAGGTCCCGGGTTATATTCCCAGCGCTACCAGATTTTCTGAGAAGTAGTGGGTCTGGAACGGGCTCCACTCAGCCTCGATACTTGAGGAGCTGTTTCAAGGAAATAGCGGCTCTGGTCTAGAAAACCGAAATTAACGGCCATGGGAATTCGTTGTGCTTACCACATGACACCCTCTATCCCCTAAAGTTGGCACTACTTTGCCGACAAGCGGCGGTCGCTCGGTCGGTATAGTTCGCTTACGGACTATAGGCCACGGAGTTTTTCCTTTTGCAAGCCACTGGTTGAGGCTCAGCATTTTGGAGGGGTCTGTAATGGCGTGGGTTATGAATCATTAAGCAGGAATGTTCTTTTATATTCTGTAATGTAGGTGTGAAAAAAGACATACGAAATTCTCGTCCAGGACTGATTGCTATCTGTTTAAACTGTCATTTGAAGGTTAAGCATGTTGTCACGTGTCCGAGGCTCCGTGATTAACAATAATGGGCTCTGGACTGGACATTTCTGTACACTTCCAGCTGCCCTCCATATCAGGAGTCCGTCTTCTCTATCCCTAACTTGCAGACAGACGATGCCGGGGTGACAGGGGAGTCGCGTTACGTTTATTTTCTTCAGGTAAAGTTGCCCTGTACAAAATTACGTACCACGCAATTCATAAACACAAACCAAGGTCGAGCCGACCAAGTTGTATGATGAATTTCTACGCACTATGTAGAGAGCTGTAACTGCCACACGCCTCTTGTCTCATAGCTATTTACATGTATAGTGCTGGACGACATTCTTTCTCTTCATTTCGTGTTTCTGCGCTTTGAACGATTGCTCAAGATAATATTTGCATTTATCATTTACATTCTTCCCTATGAGGGGTCGGAGTTCAAACCCCAGTAGGAGCAAGATTTTCTCCTCTCCACCTCATTAAGACGGTTCTGCAGTCCACCCAGCCTCCTATCCAATGGTTACTGAGGGGCTCTTTTCCCCAGTGTAAAGCGGCCGGGACGTGAAACTGATCACTCCTCAAACTAGTGCTAAGGTCAGTTTATACAGCCGCGTCTTCATGGCATAGTGCTTGTTTAGTTAAACACATTCTTCCCTAAAATATGAGCATCATTAACTCCGTAGTTTTAATCCGCAAGCGAACCATACCGACTGAGCGACCGTCGCTTCTCGTCGATGTTAGTGCCAAGTTTAGCGGATAGAGGCGTGTCGCGTGGTCGGCGCAACCAATCCCCACGGACGTTAATCTCAGTTTTCTAGACCGGAGCCGCTATCTCCTTGAAATAGCTCCTCAATTATCCTCACGAGGCTGGGTGGACCCCGTTCCAGATCCACTACTTCTCAGAAAATCTGGTAGCGCCGGGAATCGAACCCGGACCTCTGGATGTGTACCCAAGAACTCTGACAACTAGACCACAGAGGCGGTCTAAACCCCGTTAGCTTTCTTCGACCTGTACCCGAAAGCCGGCGTCACACGTTAAGCTCCTGCCACGAAAAGCGGAGAACTGGTTTAGGCAATCAGTTATAGCGTCACCTGATTCTGTTGACGCTGCGATAAAGTAGACTTGACTTAGTCTACTCTGAACTGGAAAGGCAACATGCGAAATCGTACCCATACGAACTTGACTGGACAGTTCATGCATATTAGGCCTACTTACTCATCTTACTTATGTAGCTGAGCCCTTCTTGAGGAGCCGACAATTCTGCAGCCACTCAAGAACTTCTCAGCATTTTATGGAACCCGAAGGTTCATTACCGTATTCACAAGAGCCCTTCGCTGGTCATTCCAATCCATACCATCCTATCGCTCTAAGATCTATTTTAATATTGTCCACCCATCTACGCCTTGGTCTTCTCAGTGATCTCTTCCCTTCTGGCTTTCCCACCAATATCCTATATGCATTCCTCTTCTCCCCCATTCGTGCTACATGTCCTGCCCACCCCATCCTCCTTGACGTGATCATTATAATTATATTTGGAGAAAAGTACAAGTTACGAAGCTCTTTATTATGCTGTTTTCTCCAACTTCCCGTCACGTCATCTCTCTTCGGTCCAAATATTGTCCTCAACACCCTGTTCTCAAACACCCTCAGTCTTAAATTAATACACTATACGTGTATATATATATACACACACACACGAGCATAGAGGCCCAAAAAATGTACACGCCCTTCAACGTACAAAATATCTATTTAAATACTTTATTGGTATATTCTGGTCAAGTGGGATTTGTGGTGGACAAAGTGGAGCTGGGGAGGCTTTTCTCCGAGTACTTCGGTTTCTCCTTCCAATCTTCATTCCCCCAGATTCTCCATCATCATAATCACCCGGGGCAGGTACAATAGGCCAATCAGTGGCCGCCGTGCCGAATGGACCCAGTTGGAGTCCACCCCCCACTAAGCGATTTATTGGTATATCCTCGGTCCAACATTAAAATGTACATAGATAACCCCTATTAATGTATGTTATAGAGTTTATATACGGCCATTTTGGAATTTGAACCGAAAATATACCAATAAATTTTTTAAGCACATATTTTATGCTTCCAAATGTGTATACACAGACACTGGTATACGGCTTTCTTTACAGCGTAGTTCACAGTGTTAATATCTGTTGTGGGCCCACCTAGCCTCTCGTCCAGTGGATACCGGAAACTCTTTCCTCTAGGTAAAGTGGGCAGGGCGTGAAGCTGGACATTCACATCCTTAATATCGAGTTATGAATGCTCTGAACTACTCCATTTCCCCATACGTCTCCATGGCATGATGTTTAATTTAGTACAGGGACAAATTTAATTTTTCCGCAATTTTCTTCGGACTTTTCTCGCCTGCAGTACTTCGTGTTGACACTTTGTGACTTTTCGAAACTTTATTTTGATTTTTTGTTTATATTTTATACGGGAAAAGTGGTTAAATATGATTTATCAGTGAACGAGAAGCGGTTTGTCTCAGGTGGAAGTAGTGTAGTGTCAGTAATGCGTTCTGTTTAGGAGTCTGATATGATTTGTTTGCCCAAATAATTGTGCGTAGATTTTGCCAGTTTATCAATGTGCGAGTAATTGCCATGTTATGACTGTGGCGCTCGTTAGGAAGTCACTCCTTCAGGCATAAAAGTCATCGGTTATTTTTCTTTTGAAATGGACGTTATATAATACTAACTGTAGACAACTGAGTGTTCTGTTCGTGGTTCAGGAACATGGCGATGCTTCATATAGTGTCACACCTACATTAGCCAACCACTTGTCTCTGCTAACCAACTTCATACGTCACACAGTGTTTCACAAAGTGCCGATTGTCAATACGTAGTTTATTTCTTTATTGGTTAAGCAGCAGATGTTTTTATAAACGTCCCCTGTACGAATCGCATAAGATGAAGTCGTATGTGGGACGGCCTGTCTATTACTCCGACCGTATGCCCAAACTTCTCAATGAATTTCAACTAAATTTATGTAAATTTTCGAGTAGATGTTACCGAGATACTTTTTTTTTGTCATTATAATATAGATCCGGCAGAGTTTCTGGCTACAGATCCAGAGGTCCCGGGTTCGATTCCCGGCGCTGCCAGATTTTCTGAGAAGTTGTGGGTCTGGAACGGCGTCCACTCAGCCTCGTGAGGATAATTGAAAAGCTATTTCAAGGAAATAGCGGCTCTGGTCTAGGAAACCGAAATTAACGGCAGTGGGGATTCGTTGCACTGACCACGCGGCACCCTCTATCCGCTAAATTTGGCACTAACTTCGCCGACAAATGGCGGTCGTTCGGTCGGTACAGTTCGCTTGCGAACTCAAGCCTCGGAGTTTAGTTTAGTTTATAGCCCAGTTAATGAAGTGCCTAGGAGCTGGACGACCGGGATTCGATTCCCGACAAGGACAGTATTTTTTTTAACTTCCACGGTCATGCAGGTTGTGGAGTCCCCTAGCCTCGTACTCTAATGGCGTCGAGAGCTCTTCCCCGGCTGTAAAATGCCCGGAACATGAAGCTGATGCCTCACCTCTTCTCTTATGTCGAGGTTAAAAATGCATGGATCATACTGGCAAATTTAGCTTTTACTTCATCTTCATGAAGTTCAAATCGAATTGTGGTGTTTGTATTATTAAGGTTTACATGA